TGATCTGCAGAGGGTACTTCATCATATGGGCTTCGAGGTGGAGAGCCATTTTGTAATACACTGTCAGTCCTTGAGAGTGAATCAGTACTATTTGAAGAAGAGCTCGTGGAGACTTCAATATTTGCTTCAGGTTGCTGATTTTGTGTTAATAGATTCACAGAGTGCATTGGTGGAGGCATTATCATCGTTGCATCATCTGATTCTCTTGCACCTGCTCTTTTATTTAAAAATCCTGTGACAAAAGGGAAGGAAGATGGATTAAAAACCACATGTCTGGACACAAATATTTTCCCAGTGGAGCTCAAACATTTATACCCTTTTTGTTGATTTGCTACACCCAAATAGACACACCTTTGACTATGAAATTGAAATTTGTGCTCATTATAAGGTTTCAAGCAAGGATAACAAGCACACCCAAAGGGTTGTAAAGATTTGTAATCTGGCTCTGTTTTAAACAATTCAAACAGAGGAGTTTTGCCTTCTAATACTGGTGTAGGCAATCTGTTTATCAAGTAGACAGCCACTTGGAAAGCATCCACCCAATATGTGAGTGGCATATGTGCTTGAGCTAGTAAAGTCAGTCCCATCTCAACTATGTGACGGTGCTTTCTCTCTGCGCGACCGTTTTGAGGAGATGTATATGGACAAGTAAATCTTAAATTGATGCCAGCAGACTGAGCTATAGGGACAAAAGGCTTGTACTCTGAACCATTATCACACTGCAGAGCTTTAATTTTCTTGTTGAATTGATTTTCAACGAAAGCCTTGAAATGATTAAAGGCATGTATAGCTTCCCCTTTGTGTTTTAGTGGATAAATCCAAGTATAGCGACTAAAATCATCGACAAAATGAATATAAAACCTGTGTCCATGAACAGATTGCACTGGAGAAGGTCCCCACAAGTCAGAGTGAATTAAATCTAAAGGCTCAGAAGCATGAGAGACAGAATGAGTAAATGGTAAATGTTTTGATTTCCCAAGTTGACAGGCTTCACAAAAGTATTTTTCATTCACAGGAATTTTCATATTACACCTGTTCAAAATTTCTTTCAAAATTCTAAAGCTAGGATGTCCTAATTTGTGGTGCCAATTTCTAACTTCATCTTCATCTCCGGTAAAACGAGCAACGTGCACTTGAGGTTGAAACTTAGCCTTACTGCCCATTGGATACATTCCGTCCCTGGGCGTTCCTTGCATCAGCAATTCCCCTGTCACTTTGTCCTTCACAGTACACCCAGAATTAGTGAAGCTCACATCAACAAAATTATCTTCTATAAGTCTATTCACACTCATGAGATTTTTAGTGGCATTAGGAACTAATAAGACATCCTTGAGAAGCAGTTTAGTGTTAGAGGTAGGGCAGGGTATGAATTTTGAGCCAATACCCAAGATCCGACTCTTTTCACCAGTACAAGTAGAAAGATGAGACTTACCGACCGGAGCTACTTGATCAAGGTTGTCTGAATTAGGAGTCACATGGTAATTAGCTCCGCTATCCATGTACCAATTTGGATCTGAAACAGAGTAAGGGGAAGCATAGTAGGCATGAGGATCAACAGGTCGACCATAGTTTGATGTGGGCATAAAGTTTCGATCATTTCTATAGTAGCAGTTCGCCATGATATGTCCTGGTCGCTGACAGTAGAAGCAGTAGGTTCTGCCATTGTTACCCCCTCCTCGACGACCACGTGATCTACCACGTGCACCACGACCTCCACGCCAACCATTGCGTCCAGAACCAGAGTCGGAAAAACGACGATCAGGTGAGGCACCAGTCGGAGTATCTTGACGTTGAGCTACATTAGCACTCGGCTGAATAGTGAGGGAAGCAAAATGGCTAAGTTGTTCCAAGCGACCTTCAAAAGAAAGAAGGGAGGCTTGTGCATCAATCCAAGTGAGCCCAGTTTGATCAGCAAGCTTGACAACGATCGCGTTGTATTCTGCGTCTAGACCATTTAACGTATGGAGAAGTAATTCCTCATCACTGACAGGTGCTCCAGCAAGAGCAAGCTTATCTGCAATATTTTTCATTTTGCTCAGGAACTCTTCCATCTTCATTCATTTTTCCTGGTGTGATGCAGCTCAGTCTTGTACACCATTATCCTTGCCTTAGTCGATGCACAAGTTAGTCCACGAGCACCACTCCACAGCTCTGAAGCGGTTTTGCAGTGAAGAAGCTGTGCTCCAACATCTTGAGTCATAGTGTTTCTTAACCATCCTACCAGCATTCGATCTACCGCAAACCATTCCTCGTATTCTGGATTCATCTTCGTCCCTTCAGCTTCAGGGAGCAAGCGAGGCGGGATCCTGGCAGAGGCATTGAGGTGTCCTTCTAAGCGGTTCCCTTCAATCAGCGGCAAGACAACGGACTCCCACACAAGGTAATTGCTGCGATCGAGCTTAATCGCAGACGTTTGGCTTGAAGAGCTAAAAAGGCTATAGGTTTTTGAAGCAGAGGAGGTAGAGTCAGCCGCCGCCATGGCTCTGGTACCAAGATAGAAAAAGCTAGGGTAAAAGGAATTGAATAATCCGAAGCACAGTGCTCTGCGTTCCTTTATTGAATATATAGACAAGAATACAATAGCTAGAGGACATAACGCATTACAAAGAATCAGCAGAAATAATTGAGAGCCTATTGAAACTAGACACGTGTAAAGGTGAGAATATTCTAGACAACCTATAGCTGATACAATATCGGACTCTTAATACAAAATATGATATAACATGTTATGCTTTAACAAAACCCAACAATAATTATCAGTCATCCTTCTCAGTGTAATTTTTTCTATTGTTTATTTGAAATTTCTATAAGCATTTCCCCTAACTTTCAGCTATTTTTATGAGAAATATATTCCGTATAATGAAATCCCCTGCAGCCCACTATTTAATTATCTTCTCCTAATGATAAGTTTTCTTTATGAAGATTTTTTTTTTTACTTTATATTAGAAGTCCCTTTATACTTGTGAACAACATCATTTAAATCTGTGAGGAGCGCTATTTCCATTGTGACAACAGAAAATTGGAAGGAATTCATTTTGATCTCTTAAGAGAAAAATCAAATTTTTAAATGACGAATGGATTAACCGAATGACAATGCGCATTGATGATTAATCAGTTGATGAATACAGACACAACAAAATTATGAATAATTCGATTGTCTTTTGGGTAAAATGATCCCATTTCTAATTTTAATGAGCAGAACGATCAATTCTTATTTCGTCAACAATTCCCTGTTATATCAAAAAATGCATTGTAGCTTTAGTAAACAATATACGTGAAAGGTCACATTTTTCATTATTATTTTAATTTATCATGACTATATTACTCATGTTAAACAATTTTGTATATATATTTTTTTTTTATAGGCGTGAAGCAGATCTTATAGAAGAAATAGTCATAAATGTATGGACTTGCATAATTCCTAAATTACCATCTTATGTTGACAATCTGGTTGGGATTGAGTCAAGGGCAGGTGATATGATGTCTCGCTTGGAGATTGGGGTGGATGACAGACATTTTGTAGGGATATGGGGTATGGGCGGTGTGGGTAAAACAACTCTTGCTAGAGTTGTTTTTGAAAAACTATCCCACAAGTCTGAAGTGTGTTGCTTTCTTGATAATGTTAGAGAAACATTCGAGAAAGAAGGCAAGGTCTCTTTGCAACAAAAGCTTCTTTTTCATCTCGAAAAGAAAGCCGTGAATATTCCTAATGATTACGAAGGAATGAAGATGATAAGAAAGCGTCTCCACAATAAAAAGGTTCTTCTAGTCATTGATGATGTAGATCATGAGAGACAATTAAAAAATTTGGCTGAAAGTCCAGATTGGTTTGGTGAAGGAAGCAGAATAATTTTTACAACGAGAGATAAACACTTGCTCACCTTATTTGGAGGAGATAAACCAAGAATATATGATATGAAAACCATGGAAGAAGATGAATCTCTTCAACTCTTTTCAAACAAAGCATTCAGAAAAGGCCATCCTCCTGATGAGGAGTATTTGAAGTTATCTGCATGTGTAGTTAAACATGCAGGTGGTCTTCCTTTGGCACTTGAAGCTTTGGGTTCTTTTCTTCACGAAAGGAAAAAAGCGGAGTGGAAAGATACTTTAGATGGATTGAAGAATAGTTATCTTGCTAGGGATATTTCTCAAGTGCTTAAAATAAGTTATGATGGATTGGATGAGCAACAACAGGCAATATTTTTAGATATTGCTTGTTTATTCAAGGGTTGGCGGAAAAAAGAAGTGATTCGAATTTTGAAAATTTGTGGTCTTAACCCGATCATTGAAATAGAGGTCTTGATTGAAAGAACTTTAGTAGTTGAAACAAAAGGTGGCACATTAGAGATGCATGATTTACTTCAGGATTTGGGTAGGAATATAGTTAAGCAAGAATCTCCCAAGAATGTTGGCAAGCGTAGCAGGTTGTGGGAGTTTGAGGAAATTAAGGAAGTATTGGGAAATAACAAGGTGAGTGCCATATTTTCTAAATATCTCATTTTCTTGACATACATTTGATGTTTTTAATGTTCTTTATTTTCTTATCATTCTCATGTTATTTTTCTTGCAAATGACATTTTTATTAGGGATCTGAGGCAATAGAAGCTATTTCTATGCAAGGTTGGTTTCGGTACGAGCACGATAAAATTGAATTACATCCTGAAGCTTTTTCAAAGATGAGTAACCTTAGGCTCTTCTTATGTACGGCATATAACAATCCGTTCATTTCCCTAGTGAATGGAACTTTTTTGGCTGGTGCATTAAAAGTTGTTGTTTGGCCATTTTCTCCTTTGAAAGCTCTTCCACTTGAAACTCAACTGAATGGACTTGTTGAAATGGATATGTCATTTAGCAAAATAAAACAACTTTGGAACAACAAACAGGTAAGATTGATGCTTCATGCATGATTGTTTTTCTTAAAATTATATCTTTGTGTTCATGTTTTATTGATATACTGCTTAGTTAGACTGACTCTACCATCTTTTGTTTGATTCTAATGTATGACAAAGTTGAAATCTATCGTATTGGAAAAGTCTCTCAATTTGACCGAAAGTCCAGACTTCTCAGGTGCTCCAAATTTAGAACATTTACATCTTGGTGGATGCACATCTCTTGTCAAGGTTCATCCCTCCCTTGGACAGTTGGGAAAGCTTGTTGAGGTGGACTTGAATCATTGTGCAAACCTTGAAATCCTACCAAAAAGATTGGAAACAAATTCTTTGGTGAAGTTAAACCTTAGGGGGTGTAAAAAAGTTGCAAAGCTCCCAGAGTTTGGGAAAGGTATGGAAAAACTATCATATCTTGATGTGGGTGCTACTTCTATAACTAGACTTCCTGAATCAGTTGGATCCTTGACGGGTCTTGAATATTTAAATTTGAGTGGCTGTAAAATTGAAAATCTTGACAAGTCGTTGAAGACTCACATAAGTCACCAAATTTCCGGCTTGAATGTAATGTCATTAACGGAGTTATACTTAAGCGGGTGTGGCTTAGATGATGGATCGATTCCTGATTTTGACAGTTTATCATCGCTCATTGTATTGGATCTAAGCGGTAATGATTTTGAGAATCTACCCATTGGTTGCTTCTCTGGTCTTTCTCGACTTGTCTTCCTTTCATTGAATCACTGCAAAAGGCTTAAGTCATTGCCAAGGCTCCCACCACGATTAATTCGATTACATGCCTCTGGCTGTGATTTAATGGAACCATTATCATCAGATGGACAGTTATGGAATTTGGTTGCTTCACTTGACCATGAGGTATGCGTTTCTCTTCCGACAACCTCTAATGCGTATTTTTTCCCCTTAAAACTGCAATTACATAACATGATTAATTTTTTATTTCAGCGTCGTGGGCGAACTAGATGTCAAGTCGATGATGATTGGGATGAAGATGGGGAGGAATATGTTCCTTCTGTGCTATACAAGGTATGAGTGTCTTATTTCTGTGTTTTTTTCTCACACATGCTCCCTTCATGGGTAATTAATGTTAATAACATATTGTTTGATATGTTTGCAGGGAGCTAAATGGCCTCCCCAGCTGAGAGATTTCTGCGCAAGTCTTCCAGGATGTGAAATGCCATCATGTTTTCCAAATAAAGAAGATTGCCATTTGGATATGTTGGGAAGGAAATATGAGATTGAGGTGGACATGCCTCCATATTTTCGTGACAGTGAATGGTGCGGAATTGTTGTGTGCTTCCGTATGTCAGGTTACGGTGATGGTTTTTGGGACGTTGGTTGGAGTGGTAAAGCTGCAGAAGGTGATGATGATTATATACTCGAAGAGTGGGAGTGTGATATTCCTTTCTCCTTTTCCGAAAAGCAGTGCATAATAATGGTGTTGGAATTAAATGAGGAAACATGTTGGTGGCACCTAAGAGCTCATCATAGCAATTCCCTTCGCATTCTATTTTCTGCTTACGCTGAAGGTTGGGATTGCGATTGGGAAGTAAAGGAATGTGGGTGGAGAGTGATTTGTAAAGAAGAGATACAAGATTGGTGCCATCCCAATGGTTTCTTCAACCAAGCCACCCAACCCCAGCTTGCTTCTTCTGATGAGGTCAAGCTTCCGCTGAGAGCACTTGTAGACTTCTTTTTGGGGGAGGAGCATTTGACTGGCTGATTCAAGAACCAGAGAAAAATGGACGAGAATAGGTAACAATGACTCATCGTCTTCCTACTCCTTCCGTTCTAATATAATAGTTGTCACTCCAGATATTTGTCTTTGTTTCAAAAATTTTTGCCATTTGATGAGGTTTTCAGAGAGAAACAGAATTTAATTAATTACCTTGTCATAAATGAAAACTGAGCACTTGTTAACATGAATAAAGGCGTTTAATGAAGTGAAATACCATTGCATTTCAGTAAAATTTAAATCTTTTGTTATTTTCGTCAACACAAACCGAAAGTGATAATTCA